AACCATGCTACAATCCACAGATCCAGAGAGGCCAGGCTAACAAGGGGGGGCATACATGGATCTCCCTGGAAAGGAGAAATAGAGATCTCCTGGGTGGACTCAGGCAGGTGGGAATGGAAACGTGAGGGAATGGGTTGGGGATGGGTGGAGCAAGAGAGATGACAGGAAAGGAGGGCATTTTGGGATCAGACAGAAACCTGATGAAACTCCTATGATTCTATAAGGATGACTCCAGCTAGGACTCCTAGCAATAGTGGATACGTAGCCTAAACTGGCTATCTCCTATGATCAGAGGAGATTGGTAACTACCCCAACTATCTGTCATTAGAGAACCTTCATCCAGTAACTGATAGAAACAGATGCAGGGACCCACAGCCAAACAGGGCTGAGCTCAGAAATGTAGGAGTCAGAGGAGTCAAGGACAGCAAAATCCCACTGCTATTAAAGTCACATTTTTTTCCACCTTTTAAAATTTGGCTTCAGGGTTATGGATTTGTGATAGGGGATGTCCTTCTGTATGCTATGAATATATGTTTTATCTTATTGGTTGATTTATAAAGCTGATTTGCACAATGGGCAGGCAGGATATAGCCAGATTAGGAAAAGGCTGGGAGAAGGAACTTGGGGTAACATGTTGGAGTGTTACAGATGATCTGTAGCCTTGTGGTAATACATTGTTTAATAGAAATGGGTTAATAATTAAGAGTGAGCTAGCCAATAAGAAGCCTGAGCCATCAGACAAATAGTTCATTATTATTATAAACCTCTGTGTGTTTATTTACGACTAAGGGACTGTAGAACCAAGTGGGACAGAAACATCCATCTACAGATGTACATAGTTCATGAATAAGTTCACTAACTTCACATGTATTTTCTCCATAAATAGGGTATTGCCTTGATAAACCAAATCTGATATCCCAGTTGGAGTAGGAAGACAAGGCTATAACACAGGACAGAGGAAGTATTCCAGGCATCTCTTCAGGTGGGCACAAATGGATCTGGGCTCTTCTATGGCCTGGGAAGCAAGAGTGAAAAGTATCCTTTTCCTCTGACAAAGGTAGATATGGACATTTGGCATGAACAACCGTCACAAGAAAACACAGAAACAACTAACCTGGCTCATAGGAACTCAGAGTGAACCGAAAACCAGGGAGCCTGCATGAGACTAACTCAGGCACACAGCATATGTGCAATAGTTGTGTAGCTTGGTCTACTTGTGGGACTCCTAACAGTGGGAGCAGGAGCTGACCCTGACACTTTGGCTCTTAGGAACTTACTCCTCACACTAGATTGCCTTGGCCAGCCTTAATACAGGTGGAGGTGCTTAGTTGTGCCACAACTAGATATGCCATGCTTTGTTGACACACATGGGAGGCCTGTTCCTTTCTAAACTGAAACAGAGGGATGGGGGAGGCAGAGGGGAGACAGGAGGAGATAAATAGAGGAGAGGAGGAAGGGGAGAATGCCGTCAGCATATAAAAAGAAGAAAGGAAGGGAGGGAGGGAGAGAGGAAGAAAAGGAGGGAGAGAAGATAGATAGATAGATGGATGGATGGATGGATGGATGGATGGATGGATGGATGGATGGATGGATTAAGGCACTTGCAGCCAGGCCTTACAATCTGAGTTCAATCCCTGGAGGTCCTCAGACCTCTGCATGATGTGCCATAGCCCACACTTGCCCCCCCCACATAAATGTTAAAGGCCAATGAGGTGGCTCAGCAAGAGCTTGTGGCTACGTATGAGACCCGAGTTCGATTCCCAGAACCCACATGGTGAGAGAAGGGGATCACTTCCTGTAAAGTGTCGTCTGAGTTCCACACAGACCATGGCTAGAGCACAGACACACACACACACACACACACACACACACACACACACACTCTCTCTCTCTCTCTCTCTCTCTCTCTCTCTCTCTCTAAATAAAAATGTAATACATCTTAAAGAATAGTGACCATCTCTACCTGCTCAGACTTTTCCCTACCACAGCTCTGGTCATACTGGTTTTACCGGCAGCTCCAGAAGCTTTGCTCAGGTCCCCACGAGAACAGCGTGGCTGGTGTGCCAGCACGACCTCTGTCAAGTCAGAGGTCACAGTGCTTCCTCTGACTAGTGGTTTCACACCTCAGGGGGGTAGGGAGCACCAGTAAGCCGGAAAGGCGGGCTTGGCATTCTAACTGGTTGCACCTAAGGCTCTAGGCAGGCCTCTCAGTTTCTCTGTGCCTTGATTTCCCAACCACACAGGGAGCTGCTGTGGGCAGCCACCAGATAGCCAGGAGATGAGGGGGCTGTAGGGCTGTGCTTTCTTTCCAAATCCTCCCTGTATGAGTCCACTCCCCCTAAAAACCTTTCCTGCCTGCTCCTACATTGGGTGACTGCAGGCTGCCATTCCCAGTCCTGCCTGGTTTGGGCACGAGCATGGCATGCTTTTTCAGGCCTGTTGTTGAAGACTAGCCTTCTACTGAAGCCTCAGACTCCTCCAGGCAAAACAACCCCTCCTCAAAATGTCTGTCAAACCTGCCCCAACTCTTCTCCCAGGCATCACGGAGCCTCCGAAACTCCCACCCAGACCACCCAGGCCTGCGAGGCTCGGGGTGAAGCCAATGCTAAGATAGAAGGGAAGATGGATGGGGCAGGAAGAGATGCCCACCAGCCCGGGAACTTTGGAGCTATCGATGCCTCTGGACTGAAACCACTGGGTCTTCCTGCCACTGCCTCCCCAGGTCCTGGCGCCTGCTGCTATGGAGCAGCTTGGCTGTGGGTGAAGACAGCTCTCTGTAGTAGAGGCCGACTCTTGTGCACTGTGCCCCTGCACTCTGCACCACCAGGCTGAAGGCCTTACCTGAAAAAGGGGGGGGTCTAAGTAGCACCTGCTACAAACTCAGACTCCCAGAGGTATGCCAGACACCCCCCAGAGCCCAACCCTTCCTGCCACAGGCTAGGACTTGGCATTTCCTGCCCAGACTACTGCAGTGGTCCCTCACTGGCTCTTGTGGCCCCTACCCACATCCAGCCTCCATGCCATCCACACATTACTCTGGTCTTGTCGCTTGCTGGAGAAAACAGCTGGAACAATAAATGTGAAATAATATTGTAGAAATACGACCAGTTTCTGAAATTCTAAAATAGGGCTTTGGGGCCGGACAAATGGCTCAGCTGCCAAGAGTGCTGGCTGCTCCTTCAGAGGGCCAGGGTTCAATTCCCAGCACCCAGAGAACAGTGTAAAACATGAACTCCATTCCAGGGATCCACTGCCCTCTTCTGGCCTTTATGGGAACTGCATCTACATGGTAAACACATCCTAGCACAACACCCATACACACAAAAAATGAGGTTAAAAACTAAAAATTTAAATATAGTTTTTAACTATTTACTGAGAAATTGCAAAGGAAGAACTTTAAAAAGCAACTTGAACCATAACTAGGCACACCTTCACTCCATTTCAAGGAGTTATATGGCTGTTCTTCAACATGTGATGTGACCCCAAGACGTCCCCTACCTTCAATAAATTAGTTATCTTGAGACCCTAGGAGAAAGATAGCCAACTGCAAGTATGTAAATGTATAAAGCATACTTGAATAGATTGTATTTTCTGCTTGCTTGTATTTTGAAAATGCATGTGTATTTTGTACTGTATTTGTGATGTAATATATATACACATATATATTAGATCCCCCAAGCTACTAGAATCCACAGTGTTTGCATATGCTAGGCAAGCACTTTACCTCTGAGGTGCAAATTCAGCCAGTGAAAGATTTAAATACTTTGTAAAAAATTTTTAGAAACAGGGTTTTTCTCTCTGTAGCCCTGGCTGTCCTGCAACTCACAGAAATCCACCTGCCTCTGCCTTCTGGTGCAGACATCAACTTTTATTTTGTGGCTTTGGGAATTGAGCCCAGGGCCTTGTGTACCATAGGTTCATGCCACGCCCGTGAGTTTTTTTGAGTAGGGGTCTTATTAGTCTAAATTGGCCTGGAACTCCCAATCCTTCAGCTTGCTCTGTAGGTGCATACCGTGCCCTGCCAAGTTTTCACTTATAAATAAGATGGATTCTTGCCAGGCGTCGGTGGTGCACACCTTTAGTCCCATTACTCGGGAGGCAGAGGCGGTTCTGTGAGTTTGAGGCCAGCCTGGTCCACAAAGTGAGTTCCCAAGACAGGCTCCAAGCAATACAGAGAAACCCTGTATTGAAAAACCAAATAAGTAAAGGAAAGAAGGAAGGAAGGAAGGAAGGAAGAAAGGAAGGAAGGAAGGAAGGAGGGAGGGAGGGAGGGAGGGAGGGAGGGAGGGAGGGAGGAAGGGAAGGAAGGAAGGAAGAAAGGAGGGAGGAAGGGAGGGAGGGAGGGAAGGAAGGAAGGAAGGAAGGGATTCCCAGCATGCCCTCTGTGGCCCTCTCCTCTCCGCTCCCGTATTCCAGACACACAAATGGATTCCCAGAAGAACCTGTCTCCCCATTCCTATGGCCCTGCACAGACTTCAAACACCCTTAGCTCCGTCTGTCCTTCCACACCCCATCTATCCTTGAACCCCACTTCCGACTCCTCTGTGGGTGTCTCAGATACCCACCCCACCTTCCCTGAGGCAGAAGAAACCTGGTCATTCTTTGCCCCCACCCATTATACAGTAGAGACTTTAAGAACTTTTGTCTCAAAGGCAAATACAAAACTCATTTAATAAACTTCTCACTCCTGTGTGATATGAAATATCTTTCCCAAACAAAATAGGTGAGTTGGTGTGAGATGGGTCTCTCTGTTGCCCAGAGCAGCCTTTGGGCTTCAGGAAGCCTCTGCTGCTGTCTCCAGAGAAGCTGGGACCATGGCTGTCCTTAACCAAGCACAGTTTCTGGTTTGGGGGTTTGTTAATTTGTTTTTTATTTTTATTTTTTAATGCGACACGGTCTGTCTTACTGTGTTGCCCTAGGTTGGACTTGAACTTCCGTTCTACTGGTCACCTTATCACTGTGACAAAGCACATAAAACAGGAGGAAAGATCTCAACTCACCATTTCTGTCCGTATCTCGTTTCAGTCGCTGCTGGCCTGCAGTGGGACCGTGTTACACAGGTGTGCGCAGGAGAGTTTACCTCGAGGCTGCTGGGAGCAGAGAGGGAGGAGAGGGCCCAGGGTCCTTATCTTTCAAGGGCGTTACCCAGTGATGTAACTTTTATTAGGCCACACTGCTGAAGGTTCCTAACCATCCCCACAGGCCTCAGCTGGGACCAAGGTGTCAACACTTGAGCTCTTAACATGGTCACAGCTGGGTCACATGCAGACACGCCCACACAGATACGAACCGAAGCACCTGGGCTCGGCAAGCCTCTGGCCTCGGCTTCCCAGGTAGCTGGGACTATAGGTGTGTGATATCATACCTGTCCCAACTGGCTGGTTTTAAAGCCTCTTTTTCTTTTCATCATCTTTTGAAGATTTGAATTATTTTTAACTATGTGTATGTGCACACAAGCGCAGATGCCCTCAGAGACCTGAGATTTCAGATCCCCCAAGGGGCAGTTACAGGTGGCTGTGAGCAGCCTGACTTAGGTGCTGGGAAAATTCTGGTCCCTGGAACTTCCGAACCCTGGAAGAGCAGCAAGCGTTTTTAACTGCTGAGCCATCTCTCCGGCTCCCAAGTTCTCCCATCTTCTCGCTTGACTCTTATCCCAAGGACAACTTCTGTTAGTTTCTGAGACTTCATCTGGCTTTTATTCATAAAAACATATACAAATAGAAAGACACTTTCATTTCTCAAGCAATAAGAACAGTTACACATTGATGTGTATCTTGATTTCTTTCACTCAATCGATCTTAAAGTTCTTTCCATAACAGTACTTCCACTGTCTCTTGTTCACTGGTGTGTACTACTCCATTATATGACAAACCAGATTTTATTTTAGCTATCTCCAGAAGACAATCAGTTGTGCATTTGGGGGAAAAAATACGGGGTGTGTACCCTGGGCCTCAACACTCGGTGGGCACAAGGAAGAAGATCTCTGTGAGTTCGAGGCCAGTCTGGTCTATGTAAAGAGTTCAGGACAGCCTGGTTTACACAGTGAGACCCTATCTCAAAAACAAAACAACAAAAAAACCATTAAAGTTATGGAAAAAATGGGCTACATAGGTTAGTGTCTAAGGTCACCCTGTAGAGAGATGGCAGCAAAGGCTCAGAATGGCTGCGGGAGGTGGCAATGACCAACCCGCCTCCCCTGCCACATCGCAGCTTTCAGATGTCTGCCTTCTATCTGGCCCAGGCTGCTGACAACCTGAGACCAGGATCCCCTGTCTCAGTTACAGCCCATAACTGGAGAAGTGGAAGTGACAAGTGACAAGGCAAAACCAGGGACAATTTCTTCACCAGTACTGCCAAAAAGAAAAAATGAAACCATCATTTACTATTTTTTTCTACTTTTACTGTTGTTTTTTCCAATAGTTAAAGCTGGATTTAAAAAAAAAAAACAGGATGGTGATGGTTCACACCCTTAACCCCAGCACTCAGGAGGCAGAGGCAGGAGGATCTCTATGAGTTTGAGGCCAGCCTGGTCTACAGAGCAAGTTCCGGGACAGTCAGGGCTACACGGAGAAATCCTGCCTTGAAAACTTCCCAGAATAATCATCATCATCATCATCGTCGTCGTTGTCATCGTCATCATCATCGTCCAGCTCCTCTTCCAGCCTTCCCACTGCCCGGTGCTCAGCAGCCACAATGGCTAGTGGGTCCAACCTGGGTGTGCAGCTCTGAAACATGGCTGTAAATGCAGCATGTTCTACTTCTCGTGGACTATTAAAGATGAGGTGAGGGGCTGAGGGAAGGAGCAGCAGGGAAGGGCACTTGGTTGCTCTTGTAGGGGATCAGGGTTCAGTTCCCAGCACCCACAGTGTGGCTCATGACCTCTGTAACTCCAGTTTCTGGGAACCGGATGCCTCTTCTGGCCTCCAAGGGCACCAGGTACAGTTGTGAGCATACACACAGGCATGCAAAACATACACATAAAATAAAACATTTTAAATCTAAAAAGAAAGACTTTTGAGAGGGGAGGAAATCTGGTAAGATGGCTAAGTGGGTTAAAGTATTTGCCCTCAAGTCTGATGACCCGAGTTCAAGCCCAGGACCCACAAGGTTGAGGGAGAGAATTGACTCTGGAAGGCTGTCCTCTGCCCTCCAAAGGTGTGACACACACACAATAAGTAAGTAAATGTGTGGCAGGGGCAGGTTTGGTGGTGTGTACCTTGTAATCACAGTATTTGAGAGGCTGAGGTGGGAAGATCTGAAGTTTGAAGCCAGCTTGGGTTACCAGAGAGACCCTATCTAAAATAAAAACAAAAGCTGAGGGTGTTAGCTCAGTAGTATAGCATACATTCAACATATGTCAGACCCTATATTCAGTCTCATGCACTAAAGAAACACAACAGAATGACAACTAAAATGTCTAAATATAATCTGTGGTCCTGGACCAGATATTAACCTAGGAGGTGACAAAACATTGACAAAATTTGAATGTGGTCTGAGATTAATGGTTAGTTTCCGAATTTTTAAAAAAAGATTTCATGTGTGTGAATGTTTGCCTGAACACACATACACACAGGGCAATGCATGCATGCACCCCACACACACACATACACAAACACACAGAGGCAGTAATATTGGAGGCCAGAAGAGGGCGTCAGATCACCTAGAGTCAGCTATAGATAGTTATGAGCTGCCATGTGGGTGCTGGGAGCCAAATACAGGACTCTCAACCACTGACCCAGCTCTCCACCCTCTCACTTCCAGATTTTACAGTCACACCGTAGTTGTGTAAGAATTAATGTTTACAGGAGCTTTGTGCAGAACACTTAACATTCTCAGTGCCATTTTGCAACTTTGGTAAGTCTGAAATGATTTAAAGATCAAAAACATTTAAACATATCCAATTAGAGGGTAGAGAAGCAGAGTGACCTCCTGGACGTACAAATGGGTTTATCCATACAAACAGCTGTGGGGTCGGCATGGCAGCGTCTGCCTGTTTGGCATTAGAGATTAATGAGTTGTCTTTAATGGCTGAAGGACAATCCCGTTTGAAGGTGATGAATGAAGCCCTCCCTGACAGCTGGGATCGGAAGGATGCTGGTTTGATACCAGGTGATCTGTGGTATGACCTGGACAAGTTGCTTCCCCTCCCTGGACCTCGGGGCCCTAGCTGTAAAGACACCCCTTACACCTCAAGGGGGTGCTTCCTGATGTTCTAAGATAATGGAAGAGAAAGAGCTGAGAGGCCTGGGGAGACAGCTCAGTCTGCACACTTGCCATGCAACATAAGGACCTGAGTTTGACCCTCAGAACCCACACAAAAACCAGGGCAGACACGGTAGCACATGCTTGTAAGCCGAGGTCTGGGGAGGCAAGACAGGAGGGTCAAGGGACACAAGGTTGTTTCAGGACTGCCAGGGATATAGTCTCAGGCCTGAAAATAAAAACCACGAGATGGACAGTGCCTGAGGAGGAATACCAAGTACCCTCCGGCCTCCACACACATGTGCTGCATGTACAAACACGTGCACCCTCAGGAACACAGCAAAGTGAGCTGAGAGCTGCAGAGGGCCACTCTCCTGGGATGGGGTGACCCAGGAAACCTAGAATACACCCATCCCTGTCCTTCCTGTGGGGTCCACAGTTCAGTAGATGCAGCTGGAAGTCGGTAGATGTAGCTGGAGGTCTGTGCGCAGGGACTGCTCTGAAATCCTCATGGAGAGCCTCTTCTGCATGACTGCACGGTGTTCCCACAAGCTCACATGGCTGTACACCTCCTGGGGGCCCTGGGCTCTCCATCCGCCATCTTCCTGGTTCTTTCTGTGGGACACAAGACTCCTGTTGCTTGAGTTGCATCTATTCTGCCTCCCAGCGTTGGCGTGTGAGGCTTTGCAATAGGGAAGACACAATTGCTGTTCTTAAGAATATTTGGGAGGGCTGGAGAGATGCTCCGAGGCTAAGAGCACTTTGCTGCTCTTTCAGAGGACCTGAGTTCAGTTCCCAGCACCTGCATGGTGGCTTACAGCTGTCCCTTCCTGGAGATCTGATACACATGCAAGCAAAACACTCAGACACAGATAAAATAAACATCTAGAGATTTTTAAAAGAATATTTTGGGGGACAGATGTGGTGGCGCAGGCCTTTGATCTCAGCTCTGGGAGGCAGAGGCAGGAGGATCTCTGTGAGTTGAGCCAGTTTGGTCAACATATGTTCCAGGCCAGCCAAGACTGCACAATAAGACCCTGTCTCAAAAAAGCAAAGTGGCCCAAAACAGCAATAACAATAATAACAATGAAAAACTGAGTTGGACGGTGGTGGCACACACTTCTAATCCCAGCAACTGGGAGGCAGAGGCAGTCAGATCTCAGTTAGTTCAAGGCCAGCCTGGTCTACAAAGCTAGATCTAAGACAGCCAGGTCTGTTACACAGAAAAACCCTGTCTCAGAAAACAAAAAACAAAAAGACAAAACAAAACAACTGTTAACATCTTATTTTATTACTTATGTAAGTACCTGAGGCCAATAATAAAAGTAATTTTACAAACTTAAAATTTTCCAAGGACTTGTATGTGAATTATTTTGAGACAGGCTCTCACTACAAAGCCTTAGCTGACCTAAAACTTGCTATGTAGACCAGGCTAGTCTGGAACTAGTAGTGATTCTCCTGCCTCTGCCTCCTGAGTGCTTGAATTAAAACCCAGATGTTTTTGTTGTTGTTTAAAGATTATTTTGGAATTGAGGTCGAGATGTAGCTCAGCTAGTAAAATACTTGCCTAGCATATACCAAGCCCTGAGATCTCTTCCCACCAACATATAAAATGGGGTGTGTTTCTGACACTCGCCTCTAATCCCAGCACTTGTAAGGCAGAGGCAGGAGGATCACAAGTTAAAAGTCATCCTGAGCTACAAATGGAGTTTGAGGCTAGCCTGGGTTACATCAGACCATGTCTTAAAAAAAAAAAAAAAAGCTCTTGGAAAACAAAAACAAAAAAAGCTATTCCTAATCCCTCCACCCTGGAATTACTGCACTTCCTCACGCAGCCTGGAGGAGCTGCGGGAGAGCCACCACACAAGAGCTATTTCCCCTGCCGCCTCATAGCTAAGGTAGCCTTCATGGCTGCAGGTGACTGCCTGCACAGCCCTGTGCTGCCCATGTTGACGGACACTCCATTGCTTAAGGCTTTTTCATCGGCCAGTTTGCCTTTAATGAGGGATTAGTTTCACAGCTTTAATCCTGCTTGCCTGAAAAATCTCAAACCACTATGGAAATCTCAAATCAGGCTTTTGGGAGTGGCATGAGTAAGTACTTTACGGTGGCCTCAGAAGGCTCAGATCAATCTTTAAGCCAGTCTGTGACTCATCTCTCCTAATGAAAAAAAGTCCCAAGGCTGTCTCAGCCTTGTTCCAAACTAGAAGGCAGAGACAGTTGGGGAGGTACAGATTACAGTGTCATTGGTGACTTAGTGGTTGTGAAGGGCACAAGGTTCACTGGTGATATTACTCAAAGACACCATGACCTTAGTTTGCCCAAAACCAGCCACACAGCCTGAGTGGTCCCTTCAAGGGCCCAAGCGTTCCAGCTAGGGCTCACTTACCTGCCAAGTCGGTCCTGCCGATGGCCACGAGGCCCTCAAACAGCGCTTTGCTGGGGTTCTTCCCAGCTGTGACCACACCATGCAACCAGGTGAGCAGCATCCGGTGACCATGCTCCTGGTAGCTCCTGGTTCCTGAAGATGATGAGATCGAGGTCACCACGGCACCTTCCCTGAACATGCATGCACTGGTCTCTACTGCATCCTAAATGTGCCCAGTAGGGGGAGCTCTTGGACCCCAGACTGATGGCTGAGGCCAGCATGGGACTGATCTAGACCCCCTGAATATGGTGTCAGTGAGGAGGCCTAGGCAATCAATGGGGCTTTGAGAAGTAGATCAGTATTTATCCCTAGCATATAAATGGACTTTGGGTGCTCATTCCACCATGTGGGAGGCTCTCTCAGCCTGGACACCTGGGGGAGGGCCTAGGCCTCCCCGGAATGAAATGACAGACTCTAGAGATCCCCCATGGAGGGGGACTGAGGGGGCTCGTGGCGGGGAGCGGGCATGGAGGGGAGGAAGAGGGAGCTAGGACTGACATGTGAAGCAAGCTTGCTTCTAATTTAAATATATAATAAAATTTTTTAAAAGATTTTTTTAAAGTATTTGTTTCACTCACAAAAAACGAAATCTCTAAAGTTTCTATCTACTTTTGGCCCATCTATTGACAATACATAGTGTTTGTATATTTTATTCTGTATTTAACTATTTCATTCAGTTATCAGTTCTGGTTTTCATTTGATTCGTCTGGACTTCCTCATATATAGGAATTATATCATTTGAAATAAAGAATTTGCTCTTTTCCTTTTCCAGTATTTATGTCCCCCCTCCCCTGCCTCTCTGTGTATACATGTGTGTTTGTGTGTGCGTGTGTGTGTGTATGTGTGTATGCGTGTGTGTGCGTGCACGTGTGTATATGGTACATGGGTGTGTGATGAATATGAGTGTGTGTATGCATGTGTTTGTGTGTGTGCGTGTGTGTATGTGTGTGCGCGTGTGTGTTTATGGTACATGGGTGTGTGATGAATATGAGTGTGTGTATGCATGTGTTTGTGTGTGTGCGTGTGTGTATGTGTGTGCGCGTGTGTGTTTATGGTACATGGGTGTGTGATGAATATGAGTGTGTGTATGCATGTGTTTGTGTGTGTGCGTGTGTGTATGTGTGTGCGCGTGTGTGTTTATGGTACATGGGTGTGTGATGAATATGAGTGTGTGTGCATCTGTGCCATGCATGTGGAGGCCAAAGGGGGGCATGGAGTGTCCTGCTCTATCACCCTTCCCCCCACTCCCTGGAGACAGGGTCTCACTGAAGCTGAAGCGTACTGTGTTGGGGCTAGGCTGGCTGACTGACAGCCCTAATCCTTTATCTGCACATCCCAGCACTGAGGTTAAAGGTACGCAGAGCCATGCCCAGCTTTTCGTGAGTGCCATGGATCTGAACTCAGGTCCTCACATTTGCACGCTGAGTGTTCTTATCCACTGAGTCACTGCTCCAACATGGTATTCTTTATTTGTTTCTTTTTCATGCCTTTGTACCAGGTCTAGATGTCTAAACCTATGATAGGTAAAGTGACAACAGGGGCCTCTCTTTTTTTCCACGAGGAATGTTGTTAGCAGGGTGTATAAACGGTGGGTATGAGTTCCAGCTGATTCTGCAAAACTCAAGGTCACAGAGGGGGTAGAATAGGGATGCATAGGCTGTGGGAGAAGCCAGGAGGAGTGCTTTGGATGCTTCCATCCCCAGCAGCACGGAACTAACTCAGAACTCATCTCACATACCCCCACCCACTGGCTGCCCTGGCGTAGGGCAGGGTAAGGCGGTACCTGTCCACTGCTGCTCAATGGCACAGACGTGAGCCTCCGTGAACTCCCAGGAATATGCCAGTTTCTTCCACTCATTCGGCCTCAGATACCGGGAGGCCAGTTGCCAAAGTACCGAGCGGAGCAGCTGCGTTTCCTGCCGATGGTCTTGCTTAAAGGTCAGGTTCTTCCTAGCAGGGCCGCTGTGTCCCTACATGAAAGGTGGTCCTGTGGGGCAGATCCCAAAAGTGCAGGAGCCATCTGGGGCCTGCCTTGTGATCTTAGACACAGGTGGTAGAGCCTAGGAACCTGAATCAGCATGGGCCTGTGGCTTCATATCCATCACCCTGTCTGTGCCTTGCCTTGACCACGGGACACCACACTGTTCCTCCATCTAGAAATTACCTCCCTGACTTCCAACCCATCACCATAGTCACTATGCCACCTCCTTCAAAAGCCTCTGGCAAGAGACCTCTCAGTTTCCATCCATGAAGTTTACACAGTCAAACCAATTCATTCCTAGGCCAGGATCTCACCAGCACAGAATTGAGTCTGCCTTGCTTCTGTATGCGTGGGTGCTTTCCCATCTCCACAGCCTCACAATCTGAGTGGTACCCAGGGCAGAGATGACCACCCACTTAGAGACAAAGTCCCCAGAATTGGTTGAGGGTAGGACTTAAAGCCAGCTCCATGCACGGCCAAGGCTTTCCGAATGGAGAGACGAGTGGAGGTGGTACCTTCTCCCATCTGTAGAAACGATCAGCTTTTATGATCATATCCACCAGGCTGACATGGTTGCTGCGGGCAGCCACTGCCAGAGCTGTTTTTCCTTGCTGCAAAGAAGAGGCAGAGGGACCTGGAGTTCCTATAGGGTGGCGCGGGGCGCCTCTAGACTTACTGTTATTCCATCAGTCGTCTCTGGTTTCATCCGGACTAACCCTTGCCTACCTACAGCTGGGCTGGAGAAACGGCCACTCTACCATGAGGACCAGTTTGGATCCCAGCACCCACCAGGTGGTTCACAAATACCTGCAACTCCAGCTCCAGGGAGTCTGGCACCCCTCCTGATTACCGAAGATCTGGCCTCCATGGGTACCCAAACACGCAAGCACACACACTCACACAAGCACATACACATATACAAGCCTAGAGCAGTGGTTCTCAACCTTCCTAATGCCTTGACCCTTTAATACAGTTCTACATGTTGTGGTGACCCCCAAGCACACATTGCTACTTTGTAACTGTAATTTTGCTACTATTATACATTGTAAAGTATATATCTGATGTGGTACCCTCTGTGGGGTCACGCGCAGGTTGAGAACCAGTGGCCTGGAGCTTATCAAGCAGCCTCCAGTTACTCTTCAACCTCACCTTTGACATGATGTCCCCACGCTCATTTCTCAGATAAAGAAATCAGAGCATGGAGATGTCACATCTGCCACATCTGCCTACCAATCCCCAGGCACCAGGCTCTTTGCTCCAGCCTCCCACACAGCCAGTCACGGCAGGGGCCACACAGCCAGTCACGGCAGGGGTCTGCAGTGGGATGGGAGGCTGCTCGTTACATGCAGTGAGTTCCTCCCATTCTGACCTTCACCTTTCTGGCTGACCTTGCTGAGTGACATGCAAGTGCCCACTTCTCCAAGCCTGTGATCCCTGACCTCACCCCACACCTTCAGCTCCCTTGAGGCCTTCAGCCATCCAAAGAAGGAGCCACCGTGAGGCTACCCCAAAGTCTGCTGAATGTGCAGGGAGGTGTTAGGCAGTGTGAGGCTGGCTGCTCCTGCTACCCCTGCCACCTACCGTATGCCTTATAGAACTAACAGGAGGAGGGGGTAAAACAGAAAGCAGACGGCTGGGACACAGCTGAGGGGCAGCAGAGGACAGAGGGTGTCCTGGAGGCGGATTTTTGAGTCACACAGGAGGTTCTAAGCACTCCGAGGCTCTGTGTCTTCAAGTGAAAGCTTGAAGGAGGGGCTGCTTAGAGCAGAGGTACCTTATCTCTCAGACTTAAGTCGACTCCAGCTACGAGAAGCATCTCTGCTACATCCTGCCAGGCATGCTCGGCAGCCAGGTGGAGGGGAGTCTGCTGCCTCTGGAGAGAAGATGGGGGAAGGTAAAGCATGCAGAAAGCCATGTGTGGTGGCGCACACCTTTAATCCCAGCACCCAAGAGGCGGAGGCAGGCGGATCTCTGTGAGTTCAAGGCCATCCTGATCTACAAGGTGGGTTCCAGGACAGCCAGGACTACACAAAGACCCTGTCTCAAAAGAAGACAATAAAATAAATGTAGGCTGGAGAGATGGCTGGGTGGTTAAGAGCAAGCACTGTTCTTGCAGAAGATCTTAGTTGAATTCCCAGCACCCACATGGGATAGCACACAGCTGCCTGTAGCCCCAGCTCCAGGAGATCTAATGCTCCCCTGGCATCCCAGGACACCTGTATACACATAGCATATACACACAGTTGACATATACTCACACAGACACTTATGTGTACACACACACACACACACACATACACACACACAGGTTTAAGCCAGCAACCTTGGAAAGCTAAAAAGGGGAATTAATTTCTCAACTCCAGGCCATACTAGGGACCCCTGAGTCTGAGTGGTTTCTACAGTCACTTACAATGTCGGTGACATCCAGATCACTGTGGGCATCTATGAGGAGCTGGACCAGGCCAGGGAAGTTGTGCCTCACAGCAAGGTGTATAGGAGCAGTGCCCTGCTGTGGAGAGACATGGAGATCAGTCAGTAAGTCCCTCCCAGGACTACAGATTGGAGGTGGGGTGGGATTAATTTGGGCATTGTAGTCTCTCAAACAATATAGGTGACTGAGGCAGGCATAGCCACAATGCTTGGAACTGGAGACCTAAAACTGATTCATCAGAAGGATGGTGATCTTCATGCCAGGTTAGTGGGTATATGTACGGTAGTACCAGTGCTCAAGGCTAGGTTCTCTCTCTCTCTCTCTCTCTCTCTCTCTCTCTCTCACACACACACACACACACACACACACACACACACGCACACACAGGTTTTTTTTTCTTCTTTGGAGTCTTAACTGTCCTGGAACTCACATAGTCTCTCTCTCTCTCTCTCTCTCTCTCTCTCTCTCTCTCTCTCTCTCTCTCTCTCTCTCTCTCTCTCTCTCTCTCTCTCTCTCTCTCTCACACACACACACACACACCAGAGAGACAGAGAATATAACTAAGTGGTGAGTGACTGAATCTGCAGAAATTAAAGATTGCCAGGTGCAGGTAGTTCAGCTTAGAGTTCTGTCAAGCTTGGTTTCAACCCTGCTCCTGACAAACCATCAGAAATGAAATGCCACTATTCCTTTAGTTCCTGTCCCACCCCAGCCACATGGGACAGGAAGTGTCCAACTCTCCTTTTTGTGCTTAATTAACACAATTATAGGAGAATGCAGTGTGGATCCCTTCAGTCCAGGCCCAATACTTACCTTGTCAGCCAAGTCTGTGCACCCGCCTGCCTCGATGAGTGCCTGGGACACATCCTCAGAGCCACCAAGGGCTGCATAGTGGAGGCAGCTCAGCTTTTTCTGGAGAGAAACAGGCATCAGGGCTCTATTCCAAGGATCCCTCATGTGACAGGCACCAAGATTCATATTCCACTCAAGTCTCATGGCAGTCTCAAGTCTCACTGGTGATTCGCCCAGGCCACGTGGCTGGGAAAGAGCCCACTGTGGCCTTCACTACGGTGACTCGCCCTAGGCAACATAGCTAAGCCATGGAGAAGCCAAGAGCAGAACCCAGGCCGACTGCCTGAAAGCCTCTATTCACAGAACATTTAGGAGTCTGACTGACATATTATGACTCAGTAGCTAGGGAAGCCTCCGATCTCAGGAGGGCTGGCTACCTGGGTGAGGGCATTGACGTTGCTCCCGGCACTGAGAAGAAGCCTCACACAGTCCGTGTGGGTCCCTTTGGCAGCTGCGTGCAAAGCCGTCAGACCCTCCTGAAACACACGGGGAAAGGAATGGAGACTGGGGAAGCCGGAGCCAGACCCGGAGTTAAGGGCACACACCTCTTCTCTGACCCCTCGCGTTCTCGCCTACTAGTGCGGACAAAGGGCTTGCTTACCTGTGGCTTCTGAGCCTGCACTGTGTGGAATACACACGCCATGCTGACCTCATCAACACCTCTCTCCATGTTCTCCTTGACCTTTAACCCATCTCACCCTCATCATCTAGTCCCTCCTATGTCAGGAAGCCACCCCTGGCCATCCGGACAGTGGCAACTTCTCACGGTTTGTTCATTGTGTGTGTGTGTGTATGTGCGTGTGCGTGTGTGTGTGTGTGTGTGTGTGCGCGCGTGCGCGCGCGTTATATACATGTGTGTTTTGAGACAGGTTAAGCCTTGGCTGTCTTAGACCTTGCTCTATAGACCAAGCTGGCCTCAAATTCAGAGACCTGCCTGCCTCTGCCTCCCAAGTGCTGGGATTACAGGGTGCGCCACCGTGCCTGCTGTACTTCTTATGTTTTGACAACTCTGCTCAGCCAGGTCCCTGGGGCTGCTGCTCTCTTCCTCCTGGTGGGTGTCAGTGTGAGAACATGCCTGCCCCAGGTCTCTACCAAGACAAAGTACGTTGCAGCACAGGCTGGGGGCTCCTCAAAGACCGAGCACCAGCCAGCATCTCACGGTCTGTGTCCGCAGCTGCTGACATACTGTGTTCCGCTCTTCCAGGTCTAGTCCAATGTCCACAAGTCTCTGTAGCACAGCCACATGGCCCTGGCTGGCAGCCAGGTGCAGGGCCGTGTTCCCCTCCTGCAGGAAGAAGACTGCTTGAAGGGCTCACAGATGACAGAGTCCCCAAGTTTCAGTATGTCACAGAACTGCCACTAGAGTCCCCCCCCCCATTTTACATTAAGTTAAGACCCAGAGTAACATGCCCAGGGTTACAGAACAAGTCTGACCAGCTTCATGCCTGTCACTACCAAAAGCCACAACCAGGGCATCCTCAAGGCCCAAGTCCTGCTCCTTATGATTCAAGGCGAGTGGCGTTACTTTAAAAATAAAGTCAGGTCTGGGGTTGTAGCTCAGTTGGTAGAATGATTGCCCAGCATGCACAAAGCCCTTGATTCAATCGCCAGGACTATGAAAAACCAGGCATGGACGTGCTACCTATAAAACCAGTGCTTGGGAGATGGGGGCAGGGGAACAAGCCCCAGATCATTTTGTGATACATACTGAGCTTGAAGTCAGCCTGGACTATGTAAGACTGTCTTAAAGAAAAAAAGGGCGGGGGAGAAAGAAGAGATTTCATCTTGGGACACTCATACCCACCAGCTGGCCCACATGCACTAACGTGCCCACTAGAAGAACATTAGACACATGACATATTCTGGCCTTTAGGGACCTTCCCCCCAGCAGAAAACTCCAGTCAGAGGTAGGCTGGAGGAGACCGGAGAGATGGCTCAGTGGTTAAGAGCACTTGCTCTTCCAGAGGACCTGGGTTCAATTCCCAGCACCCACATGGTGGCTCACAACCATCTGACACCTTTTTTTTTTTACCTCTGAAGTCACCAAGCCTGCATATGGTATACATATATTCAGGAAAAACATGCAAACACATAAAAAAATACTGGAAAAGACGTGGTGCACACCTTTAATCCCAGCACTCAGGAGGCAGAGACAGGAGGATCTCTGTGAGTTCCAGGACAGGCTCCAAAGCTACACAGAGAAACTCTGACTCAAAAAACAAAACAAAATCTGAAAAGGGAAAAATAAAAAATAGGCTCTAGGAGGTGCCAGGACCGAGAAGGTGCAGGGAGTGCTGCAGCCAGGTCAGGGGTTGTATTGTGTCTCTCTGTCACAATACCTTGTCTTTGACACTGTGGTCACAGCCAGAGCCCACGAGGAAGTCCAGAGCATCCAACTGTCCATGCTCGGCAGCTCTGTGAAACGCTGTTCTTCCCAGCTGACCAGACAGTGAGAGACAGTGAGAGACAGAGACAGACGAGACAGACAGAGACAGACAGTGAGAGACAGTGAGAGACACAGAGACAGACAGAGACAGACAGTGAGAGACAGACAGGGAGACACAGTGAGTGAGAGACAAACAGGGAGAGACAGAGAGAGACAGAGACAGAGAGAGACAGTGACAGACAGCAAGAGAGTGAGAGACAGTGAGAGACAGAGAGAGACAGTGAGAGACAGAGACAGACAGTGAGAGACAGAGACAGACAGTGAGAGACAGAGAGAGACAGTGAGAGAGAGAGTGAGAGACAGAGACAAGACAGGCAGAGAGAGACAGTGAGAGACAAAGACAGACAGTGAGAGACAGAGACAGACAGTGAGACACAGAGAGAGACAGACAGGGAGAGACGACAGTGAGAGACGACAGAGAGAGATGACAGTGAGCCTCCTCATGCTGTGCGCGTGCACACCTCCCTGCCCGCTGGCCAGGGCTTTCATCACCCCTCTGCACTTACAGCAGTCTCTCCTACCCCATTCTCCCTGCCACCCAGCCCCGGGTTCTGAGCAGCTGCACCTCTGTGGGAGGAGATCCTCCTCCTCCTGCAGTCCTTCAGGGGCTCCCTGCTGCCATGAAGCTGAAGTCCTCAGGTTTGAGACAGATCTCCATGGGGACCCCCAGCCCCTTTGACTTCCCCTCTCATGAGTCCAGTTGGCCAGAAATCACGCACTCAGAGCTCTTTCCCGCCTTTAAATTTCCAAGGATGCTTTTCTACCCCTTTCCAGTTACTCTCCCTCCCTACCTGCTGTTTCTCCAGGAAGCAGGAAGCAGGCTTCTTTTTCTAACCTATCTAGTCCTTGATGGAAGGGAGAGTCATCCATGTTCTGTTTTCATTCTGTCCATCATGTACCTGTCATGTCCCCTCCAGGGACACTCAAGGTAGAATACGGTTTTCCTAGCTGATCAAAGAATGCACTCCAGGTGGGCAGTATCCCTACTAGAGCCTGAGCCAATAGGACACATCCAGTAGTGCCCCAACTAACAGTGAAGTCCCAGCCAGTGGGAGAGTTGAATAGCTTTGCCAGGGTCTTACCTTGTCTGCATGGTCCAAGGCCACATCCTCCAGGTCTTCCATGACGAAGGCCAGCACAGGCATGTGGCCTTTCTGAGCGGCACAGTGCAGCAAGGTCAGGCCATCCTGGAAACAAGCCCAAGGGGGCCCTCCTCATATACCTGTCTCCCAGCACATAGCTCCCAAGACAGCAATGCTGTCAATGATGAACAGAGCCCATGCATGACCCAGCAAGGCAGCCAGCAGTCAGGAGGCCAGAAGCCAAAAGCCTGGCTCCATGCTCATCAGCTCTGGTTTGAGACCAGTTGCCTTCATCTCTGAGTCTGCATTTACACACAGACTGCCTCATTGCAAGTCAGAGAACAAGAAAAATATTATATGCCTTTACTGGCCTGGAACTCGAGAACTCACTATGTAGACCAGGCTGGACTCAAACTCACACAGATCCTCCTGCCTCTGCCTCCTGAGTGTTGGGATTAAAGGTTTGCATCACCATGCCCAGCCAGGAAACGTTTTATAAACAGAAAAGTGATTGCAAACTGTAAGGTCACACAGCACTTTCAGTCCCAAGAACATCCCACAGAGAAATGTGTGAGAGT